GAATACTTTCCGTACCCAATGTATATAGTAGGCTGGAAATGCACAGAATGCATGTTATTATTTGAGCTTATTTTATGTCACATTGAACAAGGTATAAAGCTCTCTTCTCCTCATAGGTGTGCAGAGACCTGGGGCAGTGGCCTCCTGCTCCACAGAGGGCAGATGGCTGCTGCCTGTGCTCAGCTCCTTTTGGCTGCCACCTTGTGGATGACTCACATAGCGTCTGCTGCTGCTGTGCTGTCCGACTCCACTGAGCTGCTCAACATAAGCAGGGGGGAACTGAGATACAGTCAGACCTCAGGATGATCACTGCAGCTGTCGGTGTGCCTCGTAGCAGACGTAAGCAAGCCTTTTCATCCAGAGAGATGAACGCCTTGCTGGGCTACCACAACCGAGTCTGCTCTCAGGTCTTCCCCCCCTGCAGCTAATATGGAGCACATGGTGAGGAAACACTGGTGCAGTGTATCTGTGGGGACATGGGGTACTGTGGACATTTGGGTTTTAGCAGGAATATGTCCTTTCAATTAAGTACAAGTAGAAGTCTTGAATTCAAAATATTAAAGTATTTATTTGTTGATTAAAGAGTCTGCAGAGTAATTAGTAACTAAAGTTGTCAGATAAATGTAGAAGTATAAAATAGCATGCAATGGAAATACTCAAGTGAAGTAGAAGTACCTCAAAATTGGACTAAAGTATAATACCTGTCGTAAGGTGCTTTGCTACTTTTTACAGCGGATTCGTTTTTATTTTCAAATAAAAAATTGGCGAGTGCAGGGCTAACACTAGAATACATTCAAAAAATTTAAATTCTTTAAACCTTTATACTTAATGACTTTTCTCATTTTTGTGAATTGCTTCGGCTACAGGAGATCCCACTTTGCAGCAGTGGGAAGATTTACCACTTTTTTGGATTCTGATGAGTTCATTAAAAAGCAGTAATTATTTAATGAACACTTCTATTTCATTTTGCAAGTCTGCTTTCTCATCATTTCCACACATGACAGTACATGGCACACCAAGCAACAGGAAACATGCCAGTCTCAAGTGAAAATGAAAAAAGAACTGAAGTGACACATGATCCCACTTGTGTTTATAATGTATTCTATTCAAATTAAAAAAAAAAAAGATAGAGATCTTCCCCTGAAACTGCAGGTAAAACATGTCCTTGCTTTTACTGTGGTACAGAAAATACATCAGGGAGCTGATGCATGAAAACAGTCTGGGTTAAGTCCATTTAAGTCAAAGAATAGAGCTGATGTGTTATTGGTTTTGTTGAATAGAATGAACAACGTCTGTCTCCATCCTTTTCTCTGTCTTTCTTGGCTCTACAGCTGTGGGATGAAGGACTGGTGAGATCAGCTGACTCTTGGGCAGCACGATGCATTTAGGATCACAGTCCATCACAAGCCATGAAATATATGGGCCAAAATCTGTCAGTCACCTCAGGAAGGTAGTGCAGTGCAGTCCTCTCCCAGAATCAGCTCTAGGTTTAAGCAGAAATGTCTTCACATCCACTGAATTCAGGCTAAAATTAATAGACTGAATTATGAAATGTTAGTAATATGGCTGAATGATGTAATGTGTGCTGGATGTGTCAGGTTTCAGTCCATCACTGATCTGGTCAGGTCCTGGTATGATGAGAAGCACCACTTCTCTTACCCAGAAAGATGCAGTGGACCCGTGTGCTCTCATTACACGCAGGTACAGCACACACTGGTGCATTCAAAGAGAAACCTCTGTCCCCAGTTAAACATGTCTAAACTCACGGACAGATAATCACGGTTTTAACTTATAGATTTAAGTATTAAAACATGTGTTATGGTTCCTTTCAGATGGTGTGGGCGAGCACCAACCGAGTGGGGTGTGCTCTCAGGAAGTGTTCTAACATGTATGTGCACGGAAGCACCTGGAGGGAGGCAACACTGCTGGTCTGCAACTACTCAATAAAGTAAGGAGAACTTTATTTTATCAAGGGATGTAGCAAGCAGCAGTGTGATGGTTTTTTCCATCTCAGTTCACTTCAGTTAAACTACTGTAAACATGCCATTGTTAAAATGTGCTGCACATCTACAATAAGATCCTGATGATCAATAATATTTAGTTATAAAATATACAATAACATAATACCCTCACAGAGGCAGCTATGTGTATTGAACCATTTTCACTTGAACACTTTAAGTACATTTTCTAATGATATTTGTGTGTTTACTTTTACTCACTGTAACATTTTGATTGCAGGACTCTTATTTGTAACAGAGTATTTTTACAGTGTGGTATTGCTGCTTGTACCTGAGTAAAGGACCTGACTGCTTCTTTCACACCTATGCTGTGTGCTGTATATTATGGTAGAAGACCTATTGTTTGTTTTCCTGATAAATCAGAAAAGAATAAAACAGGACTATACACAACACATTTCCTTTTTCTTTTTTTATCATTACATTTTTCTGAAGAGAAATCACACTACATATACATTATCATCATGAAATGTAGCAAGTATCGGTCATTTTAAAAAAGTACATTTCTTACATGTTTCTTATACATCCAAACAACAAGCAAACAAAAAAAAGCCACATACATGACAAAGCCTTATAGCTAACATCATGTTAACTGATGTTTCAGAGGGAACTGGGTGGGAGAGGCTCCCTATAAGACTGGGAATGTCAGAAAACGGCGCGCGTAGTGCGCCTTGTTCTCTCTGCCCGTCCAGCTACGGCGGCTCCTGCTGGAGGAACCAGTGCACAGCCAATGCAAAAACCAGAAGACTTACAAGATATTAATACCATAGTGTTTTAAATGTGTTTGGAAGAAAGGAAGAAAACAAAAACAAAGTCAGAATCCACATGATGTCCAGCATTCATTAACACAATGACGGTGTAACAAGACAAGACAATTTTGGCAAATAAAAAATGGTGCAGTAGTCTAGTAACATTATATCCATTTTCATTACACATCTTTAGTAATGAGTTTTTCACACAGTTAAGTTGATGTAATGGTGCAGTATAGGCTGGTGTTTATAGTTTTCTGGCTATTGATCCATAATGTACTGGCAAAACAATGCTTTATTCGGTGAAGAATCTGGTTATTTCTCTAATTTATAGAGACGTCTGTAAGAGTTGTTGCACTGTTTGTGATGAATTTGTTGTTTTGAATGATTTTTGGGAGTCACTGACCAAAAATTAAGCACTTTTTAAATAGATGTAACTTTGGATGCGTTATTATTTCCTGACTTGATTAGTACAATATTTCTCTTTGTACCTTGTGAAATACTGCCAAGTCTTTCCTCCAGTAGACCAGGATGTAATATGTTAGTCTGACTTAAAATTAATTAAGTTATAAATAACTGAATAAACTGTGTATCCCTATAAATAAGCTGATGTTAACTACCTGTTTACTCACTGCTGCTGCAGGACATTTTCTGTCCTGCATTTCACCTCATTACATCTCTCCATTCATCCCTCAGAGACTCTCTGCCATAAAATGGGAGACTAATGCAGCTTTTATGGTCTAAAATATGGGGTAATCAACAGTTCCTCCCAATCAATTTGTGGACACACACACACACACACACACACACACACTCACAATGACTAATACCACGTACAGCAAACATGTAGAATACTTTATATGAAGCCCTTTGTGCCCAGCAAGCAAAAGCAGGTTCCTCATAAACAAGTAAGTGGCCTCGCTGAGCACTTCAGTGACCATAATAACAGTTTATGTAGCAGCTTTTCATCCAGAAATGAGAGCAACTGGAATATATTCTCTGTGTGGGAAGAAAGTTTTGCTCGCTCTACATTTTTGTGCAGTTCTGGTTATTTTAACACTTTGTAAAATGACTGTCAATGCTTTCACTTGAAGAAATGAGACATTCTGGAACGCCTGCCTTGATCGTTTTCTAGTAGAGAGTTAGATGAGAAGGTGGGTGCCACTCTCTATGTGCTAGCTAGCAATTGATTAGCTTAGCTTAGTATAAAGATGAAACATCCAGCAATTCTGGATCTGACAAACACATTTGTTTAAGGTATATAAAAAAAACTGTATTGTTACAACGACAACTTGCAGATTTCTACAGTTAGTATACTAGTAACTGAATGTCCTGAAGTTAGTTTGATGGCCCAAACAGCTTCTCAGTTTTCCTATGGATTAACAAGATACAACATATGAGTTACTGAGCTGTAGAGATGCTGGTCAACAGGCTCTGCTACCCATGGACAGAGCCAGGCTAGCTATGCTAAGCTAATTGACTGCTGGCTCTATCTTAATATTTCATCTAACAGTCAGTAATGAGAGTGGTATCAGTCTTCTCATCTAATTGTCGACAAGAAAGCAAATATGTTGACCTATTCCTTTAAGAGACAATTTTGTGTTACACTATGTGATAAGTCCAGAATATGAGTCTTATTACTGACTTGGTTGTCATGTCTAATGGCATCATTATTTTTGTGAATGACTCGAATTTGAAAAATCTGTTCCCTGCAGCTGGTATCTTTCAGCCTGGAGAGCACCGTGCAAGCTCATCTTCTTGAATTAATGGTTACTTGCCATTTCTGCTGTGAGACTGTGGAAATAACATTTTAAAATTAAATTTCAGTGGGTGTCTTGCCATCCACAGGTGTTCCTGGCCCAACTCTGTATGACAGCTAAAGCATTATGGTACTTTTTCCTTTCAGCCAAAACAAAACTGATGACATCAGTCACCATACACAGTCTGCTCGCTGCCTCCTTCAGTACATTCTCCACTCCTTTCTGTCTTTTATGTCTGTCCCCACCCTCTGGCTTTCTCTCTCCTCTTTGTATAAACACTGCTTTTTATTTCATGTTCTTATTCACTCTTAATTTGTATCTGGAGAAATGACTGTTTGGTGATGAGAAAGAAGGAAAAGCTCATAATAACTTTATGTCTATTTGAGTTTCTATCATCATGTTGCCATAGTTACAGCTGCTATATAGATTGGTGCCCATAAGAGCCTGGTTACTGTTTAACCTCCCCACCCACATTTGCCCAGATTAGGAAAATCAATAAGATAACAGCAGCAACACCGGCCTTACCTTGCACCAACAACACCCTTCTCACACTAAAACACCCCGTGCCAAACTTCCACATTTTACACCTTATGGTGACAGAGGAAAAAGGATTTAAAACCTGTGTTTGAGAAGAAACAGAGGACGACATGGTCAATGTAAACACACAAGTCAGGTCAAGTATGGAACTCCCATTTGGTAAGTACACACTTTTTTGTTTTTATCAACTTGGCTCTGTGGTTTCAGTGAGAAAAGGTCGAGCGTGGCAGCTGCTTGCTTTTCCTTCTATCGTCAGTGGTTTGTGCAGCAGCCGTTTGGCTCTAGAGCTCTGCTGGATCACAACTGATCCAGAGTGGAAATATCATCGCCATTTGAGTCTGGCTTCTTCACACGGCTGTAATCCAGGAGGTGTGTCAGAGATATGCAAACTGTTAGAAAGGCCATGGGAGCCAAGCCTGGTGGGAATGGTGTTGACATGGCAGAGAAGTTAGAGTGCAACGAGTCAGGAAGGATTAACAGGATGATTCGTAATGATGTGAGCACAGTATTGTTGGTGCACTTTGTACAAGCAGGAGTTTTGAGAAGCTGCAGAAGTAGAAGCATTCTTATTCTGGATCTGCAGTGCTGAAAACATTATTTCTGGAGAGTTGAGGTAACTGTGAAGAGATGGAAACATTAAGCCTAAGATAAAAATTTGAGGAAGCTTTGTGTTTTGCTCTGACTACAGTGTGTTGCTGTACAAATACAAACACAGCCAAGGGTTTGAATTCTTAAGTAAGATATGTATCTGCTCATACAGGCCCAGTAGTTATTTCCTGCGTGATACTGCTTATAGACAACATGTACTGCCTCCTACATTTTCTTTTCAGATACAGCTGTGAGTTGGTGGGGGTTTGTTTTTACGCTTGTGGTCATTCATTGAATGATTTGCATGGCACAATGACATGAGGAGATGCAAATAGATTTCAACAAACCTCTGGCCAAATGGAGAAAAGAAGGATAACAAGGGGACCAATGTGGCTAAACTGCCAGTGTGTCCATGATCAGATCCATGTTAGAGCCATGCTATCCTGCAGAGCCAAACATTTTCTGGAAGCCCTGAGAGTGACAGGTCCAGACCAGCAATATGTTTTTCACTGGTTTAAAATGGTTTAATGGCTCAGTTCAGAATTTACATGTAAGTTTTTTCTACATCTGCTCTCCTATTTCTCTACACTCTAACTGGTCAGACTAGTAAAGGAGGGCTGAATAACACTGGACACACAACTAATAAGCTGCAATACCTTTTTAGACAATACAGCACCATCAGTGATGGAAATTTGTTGAACTCGACGTCAAATACAAATTTACTGCAACCTTGCAAATGAACCCACTGACTCCAACAATTCAATGGGGGTTAAATGATTTTTCACGTTGCCTTCTCAAGTACTGCTGTGACCAGGCCTCAGACATTTTCCATCTCCTTGATTTTGACTCTGTCCTACACACACCTACTTGCTGCTGTAAATACTCACTATAATGCATCATATATGTATTAATTACCAAAAATGTACACAATGTTTATGTCTTAGATAATTACTGAGCCATTTTAAATATAACAGCATAGGTCTGTGAGCCATTTTTAATGCCTTCAGACACCAGGAGAGATGAACTAACACACTGCTGGTTTGGGCCTTTTCATAGGATTAGTTTGTTTTGTTATTGTCTTTATGTTAACAGTTTCCTTGTCCTTAGATCCTCAGTGCACCTTACAGCATATGCAATGTGCAATACAAATGGAAGAAAAAGAAGAAAACAATTATTAACTCAGTTTTAAAAGGGGAAATGACAATGTGATCCTGGGTTATATTTTATAGTGACAGTGTGTGAGTATGTTTCCACTGCAGCCACGTTTCAGTGTATTCTGCCTCATTGTTTTGCAGTCTAACACATACAGTACCTTATCTAACTCAGATGTGGAAACTACTCAAATACTGTACTTAAGTACAGTTTTGAGGTATCTGTACATTACTTGGGTATTGGCTATGCTTTGACTTCACTACATTTAAGAGAAAAATACTGTACTTTGTACTCACTGTCTTTATTTGATCATTTTAGTTACTAGTTACGTTTCAGAATAGGTTTATAAAACAAAATAGATACGATTTATTGATCTTAGGTGTCAAATTCACAAGCTACCCAGCAGTAATTCAATTTATTATATACAGTTAAAATGAGCTCCCCCTTTACCAGCTGCAACATTAAATATGATGTACACAGTAATACAGCAATCACTGTAATTTAATAATATGACATAAATCAATGTAAACTGTAACATTTTGCATACTTTTACTGTTTTTACGTGAATTATATTTTATGCCAATGCTTTTGTACTTTTACTTAAGTAACATTTTGAATGCAGGACGTTTACTTATAACAAAGTATTTTTACACTGTGGTATTGTTACTTTTACTTGAGTAAACAATCTGACAATTTAACTTCACAGTATCTATTGTTTTTGTGATCCAGTCTTTGTCAGTTGACATGGTTAATTCATTCCAGTTATTCATAGTTAAAGTCTTTGTGACCATGTTCAGTGAGAGAAAGATATTTCTGATTTCTGTTGTACCATATTTTATACATCTACAGATCATCCATGAATCCAGAAAGGCATCTGAATTGTTAACTTGCACTGTGTTTGAGTGCAGCAGCAGCATTTTCTGAAAGAATTTGTTTACAGTCTATAATTAACAAATCCTCCCAAACTGCGTCATATATGTTACAAATACATTCTTTGGAAGCTTCCTTTAGGTTAGTCTGTGCTTCTTTGTCCAGAAGGTTCAGGCTCAGGTTGTTTCCTCTTTAAAACAAGTTTAACACACTCACATTTCTGTCTCATGGATACTCTAAGGGTAAGGTTTTCAACTCTTTAGACAAACTGTCAAATCTCTCTCTTAGCAAGGTAACACATAGCTCATACAATACACATACATTTGTGCCAGACACATGGGATTAATGGCTCAACGGTCGCAGCCTGGACAAACTCCTGGGCTCTGCTGCTGGCAGAATCACCGAGTGAATGCAAACATGACAACAGCCGTTCAGCAGCCCCACACTGGATATCTGTTTGCCTACAAGCTGAATGACTTGACAGCAGGGCATAGTGAGGCCTGGCTCTTCTGTATACACCATCTGAGTGACAGGGACAACGTTAATAGTTCTAAATCTGATCAAACAGTAACATAGAATTTGTATTTTAATACACAAATGCAAAGACTATCAATGAATATAAATGATTACAGTTGTACAAAGTGTGAAGCTTATTTTATTTTAGCTTGTTACAGTACACAGAGATCAACCTCCTCAGCTGGTGAAATCTGAAGAGAAACATTTAATTTGTACTGTGATGAAAGACAATCTTCAGCCAAACTAAATGTGCCTGTCTGCTGTTAAACAGAGGCAAAAAGTCCAATTTCATCACAGTGTAGCTCTCTTAGAAAGAGGGTAGCTATTACATACTGTTCGCTTAACACTATTAATCCAAGTGTTCAAGTCCCCAATCAAATCTCATTGTGACAGGCATTAGGGGATTATCCCTGCGTGCCGTGGGCCCTTACAGCTGGCCCAGTGGCCCTGGCAAACAGCTCTATCCAGTAACAGCGGCCCTGCTTCTCCTCCTAGCCTGCCTCAGCCTGGCCAGGCCTGAGAAAGCCACAGAGTCTCATGGGCCTTCGCTCAACTGGCCGGCTCACTGTCAGGGCTCTGCCTTCACAGGGATGTATGGCCAGAGTGGGATGCTGCACTTCACCGACCCAAGTAAAGGTAATGGACACAGAGACAATTTGGAGAATTAGCCGGAGAATGTGGATTATTCCTTAGTCGAGTTGAACAACATGCTGTTGTTTGTGCACTAAAACTACAGAGCTGTGGAAAGTAAAGCTGCTGGAGGCTAACAGATGAAGTGCGGGGCTGGTGTGAACATTTTTACAGTAGCGATATCAGTTTCAAATTCACTGCTGCTTGAATCTCTCAATCAAAATATGTTGATTACAAGAACTGCTTCACTGAGAAAAAATGTTAGGGGCATAAACTGACAACAGGTCTTTGTATAATAATAGCTTCACAGCTGATACTCTTGGATTTGATGTATTGAGCATTCTGGAAACAATAATTCAGTAATTAATCAGTGTAGACCTGATAATTTAACAGTGACTGATTATGGACTGCATCCACATGATGGCAGCAGTGGCTATGATTTTATAATGTCTGACATGCAGTGGTGGAAGCTAATACTGTATATACTGTACACCAGACTCAGGGGGCAGTGTTGTGGTGCCTGTACGTTATTTAATGGTGGAAGGAACAAACTACTGTACTCATGTGCTCAACTAAAGTAGAAATGAACTTTTTTTTGAGCATTTCCCTTTTATGCAACACAATACTTTTACTGCTCTACAGTACATTTCAGAGGGAACTACTGCACTTTTTACTCCACAATATTTATCTGACTACTTTAATTCTGACTTATTTTACTTTCAGATGCACAACCTGTTGTGTGTTTAAAAATATGATGCATGTTTTAGATTAAAATACTGAAAGGTATAAAATGAAGTTTAAATTAGCCCTAGAGCTTGATCAGCTACTACACTGAAATGCTCCTCGTGCAATAATCCATCAGTACCAAGAATCCATATACAACATTGATAGGAGCCAGATTTCTGCGCAACATGTCCACTTTTGACACTTTAGGTGTATTTTTGATGAGTTTTTGTATAGAAAAAAATTACTCCTGAAAAGTACATTTACTCAAGTATTTCACTTAAGTACAGTTTTTAGTTATTTGTACTTTAGTTGAGTAATTACATTTTATGCTAAATTATACTTATATCATACTGCTCCACTACATTTTAGAGGCAAATATTATAATTTCTACTCCACAACATTTATTTGACAGCTACAAATAAGATTTACTTTGCATATTGGGATAATTAAAACAAAATATAACTAGCAATTTAATGATGATGTATTAGCTACCCAGCATTATTTGAAGGAGGTAAAAATTTAGCTCCAACTTTACCAGCTGCTTTAGCTTTAATATTTTAAATTACTTTAATATTTAACATCATATTTTTACACTCTAGTACTACAGTACAGAAAAAGGACCTGAACACTTCCTCACTGGGGCAGTGTTGTAAATGGCAGTGAAGGATCAGTGAGGAAAATGCTGAAACTTTCCAAGTGAAAGAAGTATCATTATTACTGATATAGTGAACAGGCTGACTGTGTTTGCCTTAGTGAATTTAACAAAGCATGTTGCATGAAGAAGTCCTCTCTGGTTTGAACTGCTAAATATTTAGTGCCTTGTTAGTCAAGCCGTGGAGGTGAGATGTCTATTGACTGGCTGATGAGTGAAGGACCTATAGAGAATCACAGATAAAAGTGCTCAGGGCAGAGCTGCTGACAGAGGTGATAGGGCTAGCAGTCAAAATGAACTCTCAGCGAAGCAAAGTTAATGATTATAGATTCTTATCATGCACTGTGATTGATTTACGTCTTGCATGACTTTTTTGTGTTTATTGATGCAATTGTTTACTTATTTGGTGCATAAAGGCTACTTTTCACTCTGGCTGGATGTGCTACAAGATGAGCCATGTTTTTGTAGAATATACATTATAAATATTTTACACAAAGTGACATGTGCACGAAAGCTGCAAAGTTGTGGACTTTGCAAGTAGTTTTAAAAAATGCATAATAAGAAATTTTATACAGCATATAATAAAGCATGTAATATGAGAATTATTATGCCCTTTTAAACTGCATACCTCCCTCATCTCCTGCAAACCTACCTATATTTTTACCACTTCTAATATTATGAGATACAGGACAACTAAATAGACATTAGTGGTTTATCATTACCCTGAGACCAAAGAGTCATCACAGGTGAGAACAATATGACAATTTTTCTGTTTTTGTTTCTCTTTATAAAATACAGCTACAAGTTTCTGTGGGTTTTATGACTTGAGAAGAAACCAAAAGGAAAACCCTTCACAGTACATGTTAACTTTGTGATTAATATGGAAAGGCCTCTTCAAGCCTCTGGTTGGCAATCTCACTATGTCTATGATCACATTTTAGCACAACCCTTGGAAACTACGTATCTAACCCCACTACAAGGGATGGACTGGCTTTGGTTAACACAGTTTGAAATGTACTTGGCAGGAAAAATGAAATATGACACAGTTTGCCAAACTAAACATATTCAAATAATTAGAAAATAACCAAAAGAAGGCAAACTGGTTGTCAATTTGTGTCATTATGGGTGATAAAAGTAAAGGACATTATTCCAGTGACACAGAAAATATGATATTCCCCCAGTGCACCACAGGGGCTTACATAAGCTGTGCTATTTGCAGATAGTTATCTGTTGACAAGGTCTTTGCCATGACACTGTACTCACCTATCTCCTCCATCTACTGCAGGAGAGCAGCCTTTACATGCTGGCCTTAAATCTGCTGCAGCCAGCACATTGTCTCCTTCTGTTTTACTCTTATCAACATCAACATGCTCCTGGATGTGCCACACAAACACTCACATTTCCCTTGCAGTGTAGCTCTCTTAGAAAGAAACAATGTGAGTCCCCCAACAGGATATATTCCACATCTTATTAACTGTTCCAGGCCACCATGATCGTCTTTTCCTTCCCAGCTGTTGGCTCCTGTAAATTGATTTGACTATGCGGCTTTCTTTCCTGCTTGCCTTTGAGATCGGACTTGGGGAAATGAAATGTAGTCATTGAGGAGAAGGTACAAATAGGCAGCGGTTGCAAATGGAGTTTGGTCAGTGGTCGGAGATTCCTATTCAGAAGATAGACAGGACTTTGTTCACAAACTGGAGTTTAAAGTTTCAAAGGGGAGAATCACACAAGTGTTACATCAGGTCTCAGCGATCCTTTGACTTTTAGCCCCGGGGCAGGAGTTTGGGTGACTGATTATAAGACAGCACTCTGGTCCATCACAGTTCAACATGGCAACCTCCCACTGTATTTAGTATGTATTTAACAGCTAAATGTCAGGCAGTTGTTGTCAGCTGCAGCCAAAGGTTCACCTGAATAACTGCTTATCACCAACATAAAAATAATGAAAATATGATTTAGTCTTATGTTGTTTTATTGCATCTTGTGATCAACAACGTACACATCACACTCTTGTCTCTTGTTCAAATATTCACAAGAAAAGAGAGCCAAAACAACACATATTCAATCTAACATGAGACCTTGGCATACAAAGACTAAATTAAAAATAAATTAAACACATTATGAATTGCACTGAATGTAAACCACATGCATGCATAAAACTGAAACATGACACAAGATAAAAACATTCAAAGTTAATACATCTGATTTCCACAGTGGTCTTGTCAGATGATGGCAACAACACACTCACTTGTCTCTACTACCTTGCAGACTTAGTGAATGTTGTTAATTGTTCAAGTCATTCCTTAATGGACATTTAGTACATTTTCACAACAATAATAATTACATTTCTCCTCTTACCATTTCTAATACAAAGTGTTAGCTGTTTTAAAACTATCAGTTTCACATGTAATCTGGCTAACTGTTCAACATTTTGGTCTCCACACAATGAAAGCGTTATATGAATGGTATCTGTGAATTTTGATGAGTATTACGCCGACAGTATACTGACCTCTATACTGAAGTGCCTGCAAATAATCTGCTGCTGGGCCATTAAAACATTCATACACGTAACCTGCTGCTAAAAACTGAACTCTCTTAGCAATGCTTAACCATTTTATTGATTGAGAACGTTCTACACCTAAATGGGCTTTTTTTTTGTAACAGAAATCTTACTTTGTAGCATCTGAAAGTGTTGGTGCTTAGAAAGGTCACACTAAGATCAAGACTGAGTTTACAGCCATTTTAGCTGCTCTTTGTTTCTGTGGTAGGGGTGAATGCTAATGTCAGCATGCTAATGCACGCTAAATAACAAGCTAATATGCTCATGTTACACATGGTGTTAGTTCACCATCTTAGCTGATAGCATTAGCAAGCTAACATTGGGGGCGACTGTGGTCCAGTGGGTAGAGTGGTCGTCTCACAAATGGAGGGTTGGAGGTTCGAATCACAGTGTCTGCAATCCACGTGTGAAAGTGTCCTTGGGCAAGACACTGAACCCCCAAGTTGCCCCCAATGGTTAGAGCCATCGGTTGAGTTGGCGCCGCAGATGGCTGCCTTGATTCTGTACTGGAAAAAAATTCCTTGTGTGTAACATACTTGGCCAAATAAACTGATTATTATTATTATTAACATTTGCTAACTAATGAGCATTACATGCAAAGGCTGATGCGAATGTCATTAGCTTTGCAGGTATTTGGTCATACACAAATCACAATTTTTTGGGGGAGATATCTGCAGTCTGACCAAAATAACTTGTATTTTCATTGTTCGGCCTATTATCTCTTTCATGGCATTTTATTAAGTTCAGTAAGTTTCATGCATGCAGCAAAGCAGAAAATGGTGTTTCATTTAAGCAGCAAAATTGAGTACTCTGAAATAAACCACTAAAAAAGCCAGATAAAATCTTGAGATTTGCACTTTTGCTGACAAAAAAAACAGCAGTGACAGCTGTAATGGTACTGGATTCATCCTGAACACAAAACTTGAAGATAGTATTGAGATAGATGAATGTAGATAGAGCATGTTAACACCAACCCCCACCTCAAAAATGTAGATAACACACCAGAATAGTTTTTACAGCTCATGATTAAGAAAGCTATAGTCGTGCAGATTACACTTTATAGTACATTTATGATTGATCCTTGAGGAGTTTGCAGGAATTTAAGATGGGAACAGCAATAAAAGACTTTAATGACAAGCCAGATAAGATTTGCTGTGAATGACTCAGTCATAGCTCCACACTGATTCTCCCATCCTCACCCCTTGTCCCCCTCCACTCACTTGCTTACTGCTTTGAAATAATCAGCATGCTTCCTAAGCAAATATGAACATTGCAGAAGAGCAACACAGATCGAACGTGAAGAAATGTCGTAATGGATGAACTCTGTACACACAAGTGAAACAACATGCCCTGACTGAGCTGCATTTGATGCCTATTAAAGTGTGTAGAAGGCTGCTGATCATTTCTTGATCATGAGTGTAGTTTCCACTGAGTTAATCAGGTGGTTAAAGAACTTCACAGCATTTAGGCAAAGATCAGTGGCTCTAATTGTGTGATCCTACCTGACAGTCAGACAAGAAGTTTCTATGTTTTAATCACAGGTTGATCACATCCATTTTAATTCCTGATTAGATTACTGGGCAAGGGGGGGTTCCAGTATTTAATCACTGAACAGATCATTTCAATCATGCCCAGGAACCTCCAGGAATGTTATAGTGTTTGCCTGCTGGAAGAAAAATAATTTTATGAGCCCCAAGGATAATTTGAGTGTATGGTTAACAGGATCACCCACATGGGGTTTATTGCTTCTAAGGTCTGGTTGAACTCAGGATCGTTGACCTACTGTTATGTACTGGCACTTTCTCTTCAAATACAAGGCTACTGTTTGCTGTGTGACATTGAAGAGGTGGCCACTTTGTGCAAGCAGAGAATTTGTATTTGAAAACAATCTGATTCAGTGCAGTTTGCTGCAGGAGTCCTATGTGAAAACATATGCTTTTTAACCAATGTCGGATCATTCTCACTTAAACTTTTTCAGATGTTATAACCTTTGATTTACATTGTCATTACATACTGTACTTCAGTTACTTTATACTTATGTTTCACTATATTACAGAAATAAATTGTACTTCTTACTCTTTAGCTACTATAGTTACAGCTGCTTTAGTTGTAGTTTTAGATTTATAAAGAGGAATAATATCTTTATAACATAGAACACAGTATTAAAGATTAAACCAATGGTTTCCAACCTTTCTGATTTATAACCCCTTACAATAACAGAGTCTTGGGGCCCCTTTTCACATTTACCTACTGTAACTCTACATAAAGTAATTAAAACTAGCTCACCTATGTCAGCTGCAACAGTGAAATGCTTCTTATACATTGATGAAGCCATAATGACCTTTTATGTAATAATTCATAATATGCCAGCCACTTACAGAACAAGTACTTCTACTTTTGTTACTTTAAGTACATTCTTCTGAACACTTTTTGACTTTTGTTTAAGTAAAATGCAGGGCTTTTATTTTGTAATGGAGTATTTTTACAATGTGGCATTATTTAAGTAAAGCTTGCTTAATGCTTCCTTCACCACTACACCACTAATTATTGTGCAAAATCAAAAGCACACACAAAAGAACAGACAGATAACACTGCTCAAAACACAAGAAATTCTTGTGTTCACATGTGAAACTTGACACCAATAACCAATATATGAAATCCAATGTAAACCTTGGATTTAACTAAACATTTCCTTTCACTTCAGTAAATCCTCACCTGCTATTCACTAAATTGTCCCTTAAAGCTTCTTCCTAAGATTATAATATTATAATCATTTTAATACTTTTTAATATGTACTTCATTGATTTTTTAAAAATAGGCTATGAACCATTAACACCTGTCTCTCTGAGGAGCAGCTGTCTTTCTAACAAGTGTGAGCTTTTGGATCAGTCTGACGTGCACCTTGCATTTGCACTAACAATGAAGTCTTTCTTTTCTAATTTCACCTGACAATTATGCCAGAATTAACTCAGGTTTACAAAGTGACATGTTACACATGTTACAATGAAAGGAAAACCCAACATACAGTGTTTCAATCAGGTGTTAGGCCTCCACGTGCCACCAGAACAGCTTCAGTGCACTTTGGCACTGACTCTCCAAGTCTCTGAGCTCTACTGGAGGGATGGACACTGTCCTTCCAACAGATAATCCCTCATATGGTGTTTGATCAGGGTGGTGGAGACGCTGTCTAACACGTTGCTCCAACATCTCCCATAGCTGTTCAGCTGGGTTGAGACCTGGTGACTGGGAAGGCCACAGCATATGATTCACTTCAGTTTCATATTCATCATGTTATTCACTGACCCCTTGTGCTGTATGGATGGAGACACTGTCCTCATGGAAAGTTTTATTCAGGTTTTCTTTGTCACCATCTGTAGGCCTGAAAATGGTAGGCTGATATGATCTGACTATTGGGTTTCCTGATGGTATTCAGATCCTTTATTTGAGTAAATGTTGCACTACTGTATAAAAATACCCTGTTACAAGCTGTATATTCACAGTTTTACAAAAGCAGAACTATAAAAGTATTCATTCAACAGAATACACCCTTTGAGAGCGTTATATTATCATTATATTACTATAGATACATTAACATATCAGCATTTCACTGTGGCACTTGCTATACTGTTGGGTTGTCTGATCTATAATTGTGTATCATACAGTATATTACAAGCTTATTGTGAGTTTTGTTTGTACAGTCTTGTTGTTTTTTCCTTCACACTGCAGCTGCACAGCACACTGGCCACAGCAACAAATCAATAGCTATAATATCGTTTGTAAAGCATCTGAAAATAGAATAGCAGAATTGCTCAGCTGTAAGAAAATATGTCCTGCATCTCAGGCTATCTTTGATGGTTTCCTATAATAATCTGCATAGTAAGCTGTCAGTTAGCACAATATTTATGCAGAGAACTGGTGTGGCCAGAAGCTTTAAACAGATGTAAGGGGTGGCATTAATGATCCAGAGAGGTGAGATAGTGCTTATAAATGGGAGTATTTAGTGCACACTTTCTGAGAAAGACATTCATAGGGTTGAACTTTGTTGTTCAAGTGAAAAGTGACAGGGTATTTGGTGCACACTTTCTGAGAAAAACATTCATAGGGTTGTACTTTGTTGTTCAAGTGAAAAGTGACAGAAATAGTTGTGGCAAAAATGCAAAAAAGGAGAGAGAAGTTCGAACCCTCCACCAATCACAAAGTGGAGTGGGTGTGAATGTCACTTGTTCCGTTCAGAAGGTAACAGACATCGTTGCACACAGAGCCCTGTGGGCACTTTCTGGAGCTGTTCCACTATCTGATGAGTAGTTCTGACAGAAGCCCATTAAAAGTGTCTCTAATGTGCACTAAATAGTTCATCTGCAGGTTTTGAACCAAAAGTGACCTGAGACTTCTGGTTTGTCTAAACCATGTCACGAGGCAGCTGCATCTTCTGCAGTTGTTTTGTGAGGGTTTTGCTGCTGAAGAACCTTGTAGATGTCTGTGCCCAGGGGCCCATTGTCTCATGATCCATCTGTGGCTGTTTGTTAAAGGTAGTGGGAGTGAAACAATGCTGTAACATGTCTGCTTGTGATTTCAGCATGTTATAGGAAGTGTAGAAATGAATGGGTTTCATGTGGTGGAGCAGTGATTGGCCTGATATAGCCCTTACTGAGGATCTGTTTGTCCATTTTTGACGGAGAACCACAACCACTGGAGGGGCTGGTTAATCATCTGCCAGGGAGTCAATCCACCTCTCCTCTGGTTAGCAGCATGGGAGAGAAGGAGGAGAAGAAAGCGAGCTTTGCTGTCAGTCACTGGTCTCCTCTCTGACACCAGTAGGTCCCATCACGCTCAACTGGGCTACCTTGTTACTGGGCGGAGCTAAACTCAAAAAGAAGGAGGGAGGTTAGTGGAGGTGTATGGGGGTGTGAGAAGAGAAGGAGTAGGAGGAAGGGGTGGGGGTGGGGGGCACATTAGCTTCTTGGACAAGTCTTTCTGCCCCACTGTCAGGTAGTTGAGAATTTGTTTGTCCAGAGCACTGGCAGACATGGACATGGCAGACTACAGCGAGGCTCTGGACCCAGCCTACACCACACTGGAGTTTGAAAACATGCAGGTGCTCCCCTTGGGCACAGGTGAGTCACATATATGCAGCTCTGGCTTTGAACTTTGAGACTATTACTGATTTAAAACTTTGGTCAGGAACGGACAGAGTATGGAGTGATAAAAGGGGTCATCTGCCCATCTGCCCATGCTTGCTGAAGGATGATCTTGTTCAGTTCAGTCTACATTTATCACCTCTGGGTGCGATAGTAAAACAAGAAATTTGGGTTTTAAGGTAATCTGCTCTACTTTTAAGTGCATCGAGCCATTTGGTCAAAGCAGTTTTAACCAGTTTCAGCTTGTAGAGTGATGTGATGTCAGACTGATTACAGTGGATTGATATTTACTCTGATGAAGCAGAAGCTGGAGTGTCAGGATCACCCTTCTCCTGTTACAAACGGTCGGTTCCCACAGTCTAAAGCCAAGCAAAAGGGTTCTGATTTTGAGATGTGCTCACAATGACACCAACTTATTTATTTATGCAGTCTCCCATGACATTTGATCCTGATTCTGAAATTCCCACTGAGACTAAAAAGAAAGCTTGACAGGAACATTTTACACTACCCCACCACTCAGCTTTTTTCTCTCAATATTTCTTTTCTATTGCAAGCTCTAACATGACGCAGTCTGCCATTTTTAATCTATAGCATGTGTCAAGCCATACTTTGTGACTGATTGACCCAGCCTGATGATTGTGACGGTGACTAAAAAGAAATCTGTGCTCATTGATTGCCTTTTGAGAAGTAATCAAACCTACATCAATTAGCTCTGTTGACTGTCTGGGCTACTCATGCAGGTTCCCATGAAGGCTAGTTTAGATCAGCTGCCAGTGGAGCAGATCATTGCATTCACTCCAGTTGTTCACACCTTCTTCAAATAAACCATCCTGGCATTTTAAAGCCTCTGAAGTAGTCATCAAAAAATCTTCTGATGTTTGTTCAATAACCTTTTCCCCTAGTTATTATCGGTTACCCTGTTATTCTAAAACTGCTGACGTAAGCTAGAAGTCTATTAACCTGATCAGATGTGTCCTCTCTCTACTCTCCTTGTGTCAGACTCCTCACCCGCTGAAAGCACCAACATGAACGCTCCGGGCCACCTGGCAGCGGGCAGTCTGTGTGCCATATGTGGAGACAGAGCCACGGGCAAACACTACGGGGCCTCCAGCTGTGATGGTTGCAAGGGCTTCTTCAGGCGAAGCGTCCGCAAAAACCACATGTACTCGTGCAGGTGAGGGCAGAAAAGATCTATGATTGAAAAAGGAGAAATACTCTGATTTTTTCAGTGTCCTGCTGCTGCTGATGTGAAGCTGAATCAAAGCAATGCACATGAAGCCCTGCCACTGAACCCACTGTCCAACTTTATTTAGCTAAATATAAATCTGACATGTTGTTCTTGGTAATCCCTATGTAGATTGCAAAAAGGTTTTCAGGTTGCAACTAATGTATTTTAATAATTGAGTCATTGTCTCAATTAATCGATGAATGTCTGAGTCATTAAAAATTAAAAAAATAGAAAATAGAGAAAAATGCCAATTATAATTTATCACAGCCCAAATTTCTCAAATTCAATATACTGTCATGTATAATAAAGTAAAGCACCAAGTCATCACAGAAGCTGGAGCTTGAGAAACTAGAAACTACAAATGTGGGGCATTTTTGCTAAAACAAAAAGACAAATACAGTTCTTTGATTATCAAGATTATTGTGGATTCAGCTTCTGTCACTCGACTAATCTTTGCATCTTTAATTGGTTTACTCATTCAAGATTGAATCTGACAGGACAAACAAACTGATTACACTCATTCTCCAGGTTCAACAGACAATGCATTGTGGACAAAGACAAGCGAAATCAGTGCAGATACTGCCGACTGAAGAAATGCTTCAGAGCTGGCATGAAGAAAGAAGGTAGGACACTTTTATCTCTTCCAAAGCAAACTGAAACTATAACCTCAGTCTGGGTGTACTCTGTAAAAACTGCAGCTTCTCTGGCCTGCAAGTAAAACTGAATTTCCCATTTCATCAGCAAATCACTACTGAAGTGTGTGCTGTCCCCACTGAGTTGACATGACTCGTCTGAGTGTGTTGCAACACCCAGGAGAGTAGTACTTTGTTAATGTTCACTCCATAGTGTGCTGCAGTCTCTGCCAGCTTATGCTGAGCAAACATTTCCAAGCAATAATAGCCATATACTGATAAACATGACAACCTTGGAAGACTTATTTTTCTTTTAAATTACCCAGCATCCGATTAACATTTGTCATTGCATTCATTCATTTTCCTTTGATTTGACTGCATGAAGACTGCACATAATCTTCTGCAAGCAAATTAATACAAATCTGTTTGTTTTCAGCTGTGCAGAATGAAAGAGACAGAATCAGCACCAGGAGGTCCAGCTATGAAGACAGCAGTTTACCATCTATTAATGCACTCATCCAAGCAGACGTACTGTCAAGACAGGTACGGAACCATCTCTGGGACTCACATCTAACTCCTGCTCATAACGTGTAACAAGGCATCTAATGATTTCCTATTTGCATTGCCTTGTGTAGATCACCTCCCCTGCTCCTATACTGAACGGCGACATAAGGGCCAAAAAGATTGCGACCATTACAGATGTGTGTGAGTCCATGAAACAGCAGCTGTTAGTCTTGGTAGAGTGGGCCAAGTACATCCCAGCCTTCTGTGACCTGCCCCTGGATGACCAGGTACAGACATACACAGACAGAGTGTACATAGTTGTATAGACACTCCGGTCACTCATCAACCAGTCTACTCTAAAACCATAGAGTGGGCTGCAGGAGCATGCGGGCAGGTTCTCCCTGTTTCATTAAATAAATCAAATGTAGAAGGAGACAAATTAGACAAGTTTCTAAGGACTAGAACAGGTTTCTCATCACTCAGAACATTAAGCTCTTCAACCTCAGTGGTTAATGTATTTTAATCCTGAGTTAGAATATGATGAGCTGGTTTTAAATTTATGTCCCTTCCCCAAAAAACTACAGAATCATTAACAGTGTGATCACTAGGCCTTGGTAACTGATTTGCTGGTATTAAAAAGTGAGCGTCTCTTGCCAGGGTTTTTCTCATGCTCTCTCTTTAAAGCTCCAGTTTAAATATCAAGTTTCAGATGACTTAACACTGACTTTTGAAAACATTATCACACAGCTAATAAGTAAGTACTGTATTTCAGGTGGCACTGCTGCGAGCTCATGCTGGGGAACATCTCCTGCTTGGCGCTGCAAAGAGATCCATGTTGTACAAAGATATCCTCTTATTAGGTAAAACTGAAATTTTACAACACTCATATTTATATTACTTATTGCCAGTGTTAAAAAAAAGCACATTATGTCTTCCTAGACTGTATTATGTTGTTTTAAATCTTAAAATGTGATTCTCCTATAGGAAATGATCACATCATTCCTAGAAACTGCCCGGAGTTGGAGGTGGGCAGGGTAGCAGTGAGGATCCTGGATGAGCTGGTACTTCCTTTCCAGGAGCTTCAGATAGACGACAATGAATATGCCTGCTTGAAAGCCATAGTATTCTTTGATCCAGGTAGTACTACTGACTAAATATTTGGACTGTCAAATCTGTTGATCTGGCCAAAAACATAAGTGAGAATTTTAAACGCTGAGGCATGAGAAGATAGTATTGTAGATAGTATATACAGACTAAAAGTTACAACTCAATAACACATCTCTTTGTGAACACTCCTGCCTTTATTTGCAAACAGATGCAAAAGGTCTCAGTGACCCCGGAAAGATCAAGCGGATGCGATATCAGGTCCAGGTCAGCCTAGAGGACTATATCAATGACAGGCAGTACGACTCTCGAGGCCGCTTCGGGGAATTGCTCCTGCTGCTGCCGACACTACAGAGCATCACCTGGCAAATGATTGAACAGATCCAGTTTGTCAAACTCTTTGGCGTGGCCAAGATCGACAACCTGCTACAAGAAATGCTTCTTGGGGGTGAGCTCTTTCAGATCACCGGATGGAATATGACTTGTGCACTTAAAACCTTTAGGTCAAAACAATGACTCCATGCATAGTAACAATATAAACTGCGGCTATACCCACATAGCTAGCAAATTAAGAATGGCTGTGTGTTTGTGTGTTTTGTCTCTCAGGTTCTGCCAGTGAAGCTCCACATGCACATCATTCTCTGCACCCTCACCTGGTTCAGGAGCACCTCAGCACCAATGTTATAGTGACTACCAACATGCCAACGACGATCCACAACGGTCAAATCTGTAAGTACAAAGCACACCAAACCAAAAATTCCTTAAATGTGTAGTACAATGTTGCCTCCATCTTAGAAGTGTTTTTCCATTGCCATATGCAGTAACTAGAGTAGAACCTCTTGTGCATACCAGTTTGATCAGGGTGATCAGGAGTATTAATCTAAGTGAACAAAAATTACTTATATTTTGACACAAGTTGTCAAATTTCACTACCCCAGCTCCATGTGCAGCCTAGTGAGGCAGCTGGAAGGAAAAACACACTAGGCAGAATAATCCTCTATATTCTTCATGGAAACTAATCTGTCTTATTTTGTCAAAGAAAACTTCTCTTATTCTTTCTTAATATGTTTAATGCTTTGAGAAATTTCACAAAAGTGCTTATTACTCATATACACCTGCTTACAGTGTAGTTCTTCCTTCTTACTAGCTGCTGTTCCTTTGTGTTCTCCTTTTCAGCCACTCCTGAGACCCCAATCCCATCCCCACCTACTGCCTCCAGCTCAGAACATTATAAAATGACTCAGGGAGTCATAGCCACCATGTCCAAGCAGCAAACCTCCATCCCTCAGTCTGCTATTACAAAGCAAGAGGCCATCTAACAGCCCCATGAATCCCTATTCCTTCAGTTTATATTGTGTTAAACCAGGGTCTTTGTATGTAACTTTGTACACAATCAGCATTGAAGCTGTTAACTTGACTGAAACAATAAAGTAGCTATAAATATATAGAATGTAATAGCCAGTTTGTCCCTGGTGGATTGTCTAATCTTCAGGGATCCTGTCTTTCACACATGCAGCTGCAGCAGAGCTTCACAGCTCAGCAAGAACCAGACAGAACTGTAAGCAGTTAAACTTTCCTGACATTCTGCTGTTCTGTAAGACTGACACTTAGAAGAAGTACATTGTGGTATATATAGCTTGTTATTGTGTAACATCACTTCCTTTAGTGTGGCCTCAGTGTGTGCAGTATGTTAGACGTGTTAGTATTTCTTACAACTGTCCTTATATTGTCATGTTTTTAGTGTTGCACAGTATTTTATTTGATGTTCATTAGTCATACAGTGGTTTCAGTCATGAAAAGTGTAATTTTATCAATGCTAAAGGAAATCCTGTGAATGAGCTCATCTTTCTGAAGTGTCTTTTAAATGATCTTTCACAAGACTGAAACATCTAGGGTTTGTTTTTTATCCTGGAATATGCATATAGTACAATTTAACATCTTAAAATGTACAAAAATGCTATAATTTACAATATTTAAAATTGAGGTACATATGATGAGCTCTCTGGTGCCACTTTGTAAAAATCACAGGCTGACACACTGAGGACATTTCCCATAATATGTTGTATTGGTTTTTGTTTAGTACTTTGCCATGGTTTAACTAATGGGATAAACTGTGCCCTGTGACCTGTATTGCCTTACAAAAACAGGCAGTGTTTCACCTTACAATGTGAAGATGAATTAATAAATCTCAAGGTCTATTTTTAAATATTCTGCAGACCAGACTTGATATTTTCTGTGACCTTAAGATTAGAGTTTAGGAAATGATTGGGATTCTCTGAATAGCAAACTTAAAAACTTAAGTTACAAATGCTGGAAAGTCTCTGGAGGAGACAATGGGTCCAGCGTGGCAGCGCTGCTGGTTCACTGATAGCCAAATACAACATGTTGCTTCATAATGATAAGCTGCCATAAAATAAATATGGCCTTGAAATTAGGCCTGATTCAAGACACACACACACACACACACACACACACACACACACAGAGAGAGAGAGAGAGAGAGAGAGAGAGAGAGAGAGAGAGTAGCTAATGTGCTGTTTAGAGTCAAATATACCAGTACTTAACATCCCCAAATATATCTAAAGATTTTTGTCTTACCAAAACACCAGCCCCTTGCATAAAATATGGATATAATAGTCAGGTATATTACATAATATTTTCAAATTTGAACTAACAAATAGACTAAGATAGATCTTAACAGGATACAGCCCAGTCAGTGGTGACAGCTGAGCAACAGACAGGCAAATTCTGCCATCTACTGCGTCGAAGTGCAATAGCTACATCCAAACTGTCACACAGAAATAAAAAAATCTGGTAATCCACTGATACAGATATCTTAATTAATAAATTAAATTAAAAGTGTATAAAAACGGATACAGTAAATCTAAACTGTGCAGGAAATACAGCTTTACGCAACAACACTATAAAGATTACAGGTTCTGTTGTGCTTTTATTTCCACCATATTCTATTGTAGATTTCTTCAAACTAATATTAGTATTCAATAGAACGTGAAGGAGCGTGGCGTGGAATTTTTATTCTTATGCAAAATGTGAGATTCAGGTACACTGAAGCATTGGAAAATCTGAGATAGAGCTAGAGTAGGTGACATAGTAGGTCTTTGTGTTAGCAAAGAACAAACAAACCAGAAAACTTTTCACGTTTTGTAACAATTGTCACAAACTCTTTTTAATAGGCTATTTTGTTTTTAAAGTAAAATGCTTGCTTGTGAGAAATTTGAACAACAGCCACCAAAAACTACTTTGCCTATACATTTTCGATTTTGAGTATGCGACATATCGTGCTTGGCTAGTTTCCGAGGGGCATTTGAAGAAGCAGTGCCGTCAAAAATAACAGACGTAAAACTCGACCAATGGGCTTGACTGATCTGCTGCGTCACATCGCCTTAATATGCTGCAAATGGACCAATGAAAGAGTACCGCTTCTGTACCCGGAAAAGGATTTTTCTGTTGGGTAGGTTGCGATTTTTGACTAGTTTTGAGCCATCGTGGCTGTTTTAAGCATTTTTGTCACTTGCCAGTTGATGCTCATTAAAACATAGCCATGTATGTCCTAGAAGGTTAATGTTAAACGTATTTTCGGGTTGGTATTTGGTCAGTGTTCTGAATCAAGTCTTGTCTCTCTCGGTTCTGTTCAGGGTCATGTTGTTTAGCCAGAATCCGAATCATTGCTAACGTTAAAGCAAATACGCATTGTGAGCATGTTAACGCAGTTGTAACCCATTTAACGTATCATGCAACGTTTTACGTCCAACATTTGTTGGCCACTTTATAGAAAGCCGTATTAACAATGCAGTGATGGAATGTAACCCAGTTCAGCTATCTACCTACTGTCCCAAAGTACAGTTTTGAGCTACTTGTTGGTAACTTGAGTATTTCAGTTTGGTGCTACTTTATACTTGAACTGTACTTGGCTGGAATGGCCTCCATGGTCCCCAAGGATAAAATCTGTCCCTACTGACCTCCACTATAATGTTACATGGCAGTTTAATTATTACTACTACTACTGAAGCACCCAGAAACCAGCCAGTACTCAATAGTTGAATCGATTAGTTGACATAAAAATAATAGCAACTTTTTGGATAATTGATTAGTTGTTTATTATTCAGCAAAACTGTCACAAATGTTTTGGTGCCAGCTTCTCGTCTGTGAATATGTGCTGGGTTCCCAGCTTTCTATAATGGTAAACAGATTTTTGGTTGTAAGTCAAAATAAGGCACATTGATGGTCTTAAAAGTAGGTTTTGACACAGGGTCTGTACTTATTTACGACTGGGGGCCACAAGATGGAGGACCCATCATAGCTGAAAAGATACTTATGTTAAAATTCTAACAAATTTACAATTAATCAAAATCATGTTGATAGAACTGGCATTAATGTTAGCTCATTTACCTAATAAATTCACAGTCAAATGAATATTTTGATGTCAGTACCTCTGTACTTTTATTTTTGTTTACCGTACTTGAAGCAGAGTATTTCTATAGTGTGGTATTGTTACTTCAACTTAAGTAAAAGATGTAATTACTTCTGACACTGACACAATGTATGTGACTCCTGACAGAGGCTAACAGTGCCAGCCTAGAGCCTTCCATGTAAGCTGCAGTGTTTTCACACCTTTCTGGTCCTTCTTCTGTGTTGCTTTCCAAACAGCTTCACTCAGTCCATGGCTGATCAGCATGAGTCCATCGATCTTAGGTCTCCTCCAGTGGACCCAGCAGCAGCTGCAGGACTCGGCTGGTTCCCTAGACCTCCTCCACCCATCTACTCGTGCACCCTGACCCCTGAACTGGTGGCCAAGGCACGGGAAGAGCTACAGGAGAAACCAGAGTGGCGACTCCGGGATGTCCAAGCATTGAGAGACATGATACTGAAGGTCTTGCTTTGTGGTTTTCTATCATATTGTGATTTGTTTAAACATAAGCACATTTACATGAGGTCACCAAACTCCAGGTACTAATTAGATTGACAAGGTCTTAACTTGTTATTCTAGTTAATCATTAAGTAAACAGGAAAGTGAGGGAGATGTCAGTCAAACCCATCTGGTTATGCCCACACAGTCCTGAGGAAGGTATCATCAAGTGGAATAAACACACACACCTGTGTGTGTGTGGACTGTATGTGTGCAGAGTTTATACTACCCATCATGTTTATAATAGCACTTAATCTCTTCCTCAACTTTAAAATGCTGCTGACTTTGAGCACACCACTAATGTCACATATTTATTGTCAACAAATCCCATGACAAGACTAAATCCAAAAATGTGTTAATCTGCTTTTAAATAAGCTCTGATGCCCCATACCCTGCATCAAAATAAATTACAGTGGCTGTTTTCATTCTAATGAAGGATCATATTACCCATTGTAACAGTGTGGATCGACAGTGTGGAGCGCAGCATATAAGAGACATCAGTCTTTGGATACACAACTCATGCTTGTTAGTATGGTCAGTTCATTGTTGGGTTTTGGCCTTTTCATGAGACATTTTGACAATAAGAAAAATAAAGACTATTTCCATATTACCAGACCTATCCTTTTGCACCAAATTGACCACATACAGTACTGATGTAGATCATGTATTAAATTATTATGAATCTGGAGCCTCTCACATTTTCCTGGTGTCCTTTGTTCATTCTTTTCATTGTTTTGTAGTTTTTTGTTTTCCCATCTTCTTCCATCCTTTGTTTTCTTAGTGTTTTCCAGCTCTTTATCCAGTGAAATGATTGTGAAGGAATGTTTTTTCCAACTGGCTCTACAGGAACAGCCCAATCTCAGAACGAGGCTGGACGATGCCTTCCTCCTGCGCTTCCTGCGGGCCAGGAAGTTTGACTACGACCGTGCCCTGCAGCTGTTGCTCAATTACCACGCAGCTCGTAAAGCCTGGCCAGAGGTATTCCGGGACCTGAAGCCATCCACAGTGAAGCACGTCCTGGACCTGGGCTTTCTCACAGTCCTGCCACGAACAGACCCCAGTGGAAGATACATCCTCTGTCTCCGGCCAGGTTGGTGTCAGCTTCCTCTTCACTGGAAAATCCAGCAGTTTTCCAGTGACTTGAGCGCACTGTAATTACTGTTTGTCATTTAGCTGTCACATTACTCAGCAGAGTGCAAACATAGTTTATTTTTTCAAATCTCTATATGACATAATAGCCAGTTACTGACAGTTCTTCCAGAGTGTGCATTACTCATGATTTACAGTTACTCAACTCAGTCTCCTTTTAAAGGAAAATGGAAACCAAACGATTATCCGTTTGTCGACAATGTGAGGGCCATTTATCTGACTCTGGAGAAGCTGATCCAGCCAGAGGAAGTGCAAGTGAATGGTATTGTCATCTTGGCTGACTACACTGGAGTGGGCATGTCGCAGGCATCCAATCCAGGCCCGTTCCTTGCCAAAAGAGTTGTGAGCATCCTCCAGGTAAGAAATCCAACATCTGATGATAGAAATAATGTATATTACCTGATAGAAATATAATGTCCTATGCTTTGATAACACTTTTAAAATAAAATCAGCAGCAAATTATATATTTTTTAAATAGATAGCAGTTTCTCAAAATGTGTTTTTTTTTTTTTTTAAGGACAGCAGTTAATATCAGTAACTGTTAACATGCACAAGAAGAAAAATTGTCATTTGCAGCAGTGTCCCTTGAGCACAACTTGTGTTTGGTCATGATTGTAGTGTGTAATATCTACATAAGCACATGAAACGTGAAACATTTGGACAAGGTCCAGCTGTGATTGTTCTGATTGTAGTTTCTCTTTTACTTCACAGGACGGGTTTCCAATCAGAATCAAGGCCGTTAACATAATTAATGAGCCCAGGATTTTCAAAGGCATCTTCGCTATAATTAAGCCATTTCTGAAGGAGAAGATGGCTGAGAGGGTAACTGTTGTCACTGAATTGTCTCTGACTCTTGTTTTAAACAGAGGACTATTTGTGTGCCGCCCTTTTATCTGCAGCCTGCGCTCGAAGGTAGCAGCCTATTTTCAAAATATTTTTAGTGGAATGAACTCAGTCCACCAGAAACACAACCAAATTTTCTAAAATCTCATGAGAGGGCTTGCAGCTTTTTAATTTTATACATTTGTGGACATCAGTCGTCTTATCACCTGGCAAACCTGTTAGCATACAGTTACATACATGATCAGCAGATGGAGCAACATTAGGATTCATTTAGAGTTGTGGTTCTGGCTACCTGATAAGTCCAACATTCACTCTCTTTTTAGCTGCTTTAGTTCCACCAGTATCTGACTCTTTAGCTGCTAGAGTCTCCTGTGTCTGTCTGCTGTTTGGTGCTAGGCCGGTAACATACGGTTTGTGTTAAGAGCATTTTCACTAATAGCGTTTGCTGCAGTGAGAGTGAAGCACAAGTCAAGTTGTGGGCTTTCGAACCAAAGCAATGAAAGGAAAGAACCTATAAAGAGCTGAAGGGAACAGCAGAGTTGGCTGATATTTCACTGTGGGTTCATTCCTATGAGTGACCACTGTCATGTCACATGAACTATTAATTATAGCCACTTTAAATAATGAAGCTGATGGTGAGACATATGACATCACTGACAAAGTGCCTTTGCTATCTCCTCGAACAGTACATCCTCCACGGCTCAGATCTGAGCTCCCTGCATCACAACATCCCACGGTCGGTCCTGCCGAACGAGTACGGCGGCACTGCGGGCCACCTGGACATGTGTGCGTGGTCTAGACTGCTGCTGGACTGTGAGGAGGAGTTTATAGTGGAGTTTTGCCAGCCGGATCCACTAGAGGGCGTGGTGCTCCCAGAATCCATGCTGTTTGAAGGAGAGCGGGCCAGTGGGCAGGACGACGACACTTTCAGGGTGCTGCGCTCCCAACTCTACTATTGTTACTGATGTGCACTGTAGATGCATAGAATTCATCACTGAGAGGACATTTGTTTCATCTGGAATGTGTGTGTGTGTGTGTGGACCTTTAGAGGATAAAGTTGCCAATATTAGAAATGATTTATTTTACTAAGTAAGCAGCACTTCTTTAGGCAGATTACCTAGTTTCCATGTAGCCCAGCATTCACTCATAGTTCCAAGGCAGCTGAAGGCAAAGAAGCTTTTGACATGAGCTGAGACATATACAGTCAGTGGTTCCCTCTGAATATATTTCTATTATTCAAGAGATAGGTTTACGTTTTGTTTTTTCCAACAGTCAGGTGTCCATATGTACATTGCAAGAGGTTTTGCTTGATGTCATTATTCCTCCTGTTCATACTGAATTGTCAGATAGACCTTCCTGATGTGCTTCCAGTGTAAGAGAGAGGAGAAAATTCCACAGTCCTCATTTTGTTTAGCAAGAGAAAAAATGAGGCTTCAGCAGCCTCAGTTAGGCCAATCAAAAGAACATCTCTTAGAGTTACTGTTTTTTGAAGTACAAAATTCCCTCTTTGTGTTTTTAACCCCCCTGCAACTGAGTGTGGAGACACAGACTAGCAAAACAGACAGAAACTTTATACTAAAACGACTCCCTGAAGTCTTGCACTGGGTCAGGTACCCGCAAAAATGATGTGTAAGCAACCGATGCATTTATTGTGAAGGCCTATGGCACAACCTTTGACCCCTGAACTCACATCCAGCTAACAGGATAACGTAGGCTAGGCCTCAGTGTGTCAAACTGGGTAAACCCAAAGTGAAAATAGCCAGCGGTGAATACAAAGTTGTAAACAACACATCATCAAATGCCAAGTCGTACGTATGTGAGACGTTCACTTGTTACAAGCAGTGAGAATAATGTTATCAGTGGCTTTGCTGATTGTAAATAGTGTTAGCATTTGATAGCGTCAAGCTAGGAACTTCTCACTAAGGGAAATGCTGCAGAGCCCACGTGCTGTGTCCATCGACAGGTATTTTTCCAAGAATACAACTCGTAAGCACTTCAAAGTAAGTGACTATGTAGCTCAAAGTCTGTTTTAATTATGGGAGCAGGTCGGGTTGGGGGTCTCATGTTGATGGGTCGGATCCAGATTTAATTTAGAAATAACTCAAGAGTTAACGGGTCAGGTCTGAAACAGAACTTTGTGGGTGTGGGGCAGGTGTGGGTTTTTAAAACTGGACCTGTGCAGGACTCTTGACACTAACCTCCTGACCTGGCAAACAGACTGCTTAAGTTCCATGTCAGCTTCAGCTAAACTTTGTAGAAAGGGATTTCTGAATGGCTGGTATGGACAGGAGGAATTGTTACAGCAAGCAATAAGTGTTTCACTATACATTTGGACATGCCAGTTCTGCTTTAGTACAAACATGTAAATATACCCTTTTAATGTTTTCCTTTTGTGAATTCTGAAATCAGCCTCTTCAGTGGATACAGTTTTTGTGTATGTAGCCGTCCAATACATTGCCTTACAAATGTAGATTCTCTTAGGGGTGTGATACAAATCATGTTGGATTTGTTTGTACCAAAGCAATATTCATGTATATTCTCATCTGGTATTGTGTTGCCTAAGGGTGGTTATATTATAATGTAAAAGATTTCCAGGTAAATCTTTTTGCTCAGTATCTAGCTCATGCACAGTATTTTAGCGTCTTTGTTAAGTTGATGTTTTAATTTTCTCTAGCTTGAATCAATGGAGAGGATTATTCTTCCAAGTTTAGTTAATCTGCCTTTTTAAAAATCTTTTTTTGACCTGTTTGCCTGTTTTATCACACAGTCTTAACATGGAGCCGTGACTGTTCACATGAGGAATAGAATGACCAGTCCTGGTTTGCCAAAATTTACACTAGGCCATTTATAGAAATGTGCAATAATGTTGAATGTGTTTTCTTGTGGTAGCCCAAAACCTGAACAGGCTTGTTGAGTCTTTTTTTAGTTTACGCATGTTTGTGACTATAAGCTGTATTGCAGAGGTTGTTTATCATTGGTAGTGTACACAGTAAATTTAAACTCAAACAGCAATGCTGTCTATGTCATGTTTGTGCTGTGGATGCTGCTGTTGGCAGGGCATGGTGCTAAGCTGCCATCTCTGGGGGAGTTATGGGTATTTTCTCGACATTATCGCAACTGACTTGAGCAGTGTTTCCCAAACTGGAGTGACGAGTCTCCAGAAACCTCAGAAATACAGTGGTGGAAATGTTTGGCTAATTACCAAATAGAAATAGCAATAGCACCATGTAAAAAAGCCAAAGTCCCACATAAAAAAAAAATGTACTCATGTAAAAGTTGCAAGAAGTTATTAAAATTATGTATGAACATTAATAATTTTGGTCATGATTTAAATGTAAAATGTTGACCTGAAAGGTGAAAAGAAATTATAGCTGTCAAATGCACGAGGATAAGTAAAAAGTAGTAGACTAGAAGATTAAAGATCCGCAGTGGCATTAGAAAATAAGTGAATCCTTTGGAATTATCAGCATTTAGGTGTAAATTTGTCTTTAAAATATGGTCAGACCTTCATCTAAGTTACATTTATGGACGAACAGTTTGATTTAAATAAATAGCATCAAATCATTATATTGTTCCTGATCATGCTGACTACATCATTCATACATTCACAGTGTTGGTTGGAAAAAGTATGTGAGCCCCTCGGCCAATGACACAACACACTTGGAGTCTAGACTGTGAAGCCAGGTTGGAGGTCAAGTCAAGTCAAGATTTCTATTTGCCATTTATGCATAAACAGTCCAGGCATATAAGAATTCTTGTGTAGCTCTCCTTTGGAGTCAGGTAAGGAGTCAAAAGACAGAAAGAACACTTAGAATAAAATAAAATAAAAAAGTTACATAAAAGCAACAAAGCATTAAAAACCAAAATACACAAAAATAGGGTAATAGTATTTTTTCCAGTGAACTTCAAACATCGCACTTAGTAATTCACATGGTGGAGTTGGATATGTCATTATGCTTGGTGAGGTAGTGAGGGGTTATAACATACTAAAACACAGTTTATATTTAGGCCTGTTTCCACTGCTTGGTAGAGAATGTCCTGTTATTATTCAGATCCCCCAAGAGAACACTGTTGATGAGATGCTCTTACAAACATACCTTGTGGAACATTTCTGTATTATTATTGCTCATGTCTAGTAAGGGGTTATTGCATGTATATTCTCACATTTTCGTATTTGCCATCAGTCTTAACTGTGGCAGGGAAAAAGCTGTTGTAAAGTCTAGTTCTGTGTGTGATGATACTGTTCACCCTGCTGTGCTTGAGGCTGTAGGTGCAGTTTTTGTGTCTGAGCAGGAAGTGAGCTGGGTGGCGTGGGTCTCTGAGTATGTTCTCCACCCCTTTACAACAGTGCTGTGTGTACAGTGTGTCCATAGCAGGCAGTTCAGTCCCAATTATCCACTGTGCGTTAGAGCTACTGGGATTTATTTAGCAAAGCATTTAGTTTGCTAGTCACAAGAAGCATGATATGCTTTTTGATTTGAAGAAAGCTGGAAAGAGTCACAGTTGTCAGGGTTTAGATATTCATCAGTCACAGTTGGATAAACATCTAAAGCCTCAGAGGTAAAAAGGCCTGGAATAACAGCTAAAGGCTCAAAGTAATCACTGGAGCTGGTTAACGTCTTTGTTCATGAGTCTGCCATACACATCGTGGTGCATGGAGTCCATGACACCACAGAGGAAGCTGCTGCTCTCCACAAAGTCACATAGGGCGCTGCATACCAACATGAAAACCTCATTTCATGGTTTGGAGCTGCTTTGGCGCCTCTGGGCCTGGACAGATTCATTATCATCTAGGGGGAAGTGATTTATCGAGGAATCTTCCAGGATGATGTCATGGCTGTCCACTAGCTGAAGTTTCATCATGGAGCGGGACAGTGACCCTAAACATTGAAGTAAATCTACTACAGAAGGGCTTCTAACACAGAGAATCAATTTTTGGAAAGGTCCAGTCAGAGCCCAGATGTCCCCTTTAAATTTTAATCAGGTCAGTGAGGCATAATATGGTGGCCAGGGCTTAGGTGACCTTGAGCAGATTTCAGTCATATGGTTCACTTTATTTCAAGGTTATGTATTTTAAAAGAACCCTGTTAGAAAATAGTGAAATTCTAAGCATTTTAACAGTGAAGAGTCAAGAATAACTTTGGTATGGCATGTCAGCCTGGTGGTTTGATGCTGGATCACTGCCATCTGAAGCACTTACACAGAACTCATTAATTTGTTTAGTCTCTTTCATGGGATTTTGACATTATTTTAACTCCATACAGCCCACACTGTTGGATATTATTGGTTTGCTGTTTCCATGACATTAATTTAGTGAACAAGACTTCTGTGTGCTGTATTCTGATGTAGTAGGAGTTCTCAGCAACACAAAAAGAAAAAAGACACATCAACTGAACATGCTCTCTGCATATGAAGTACAGTTTTATTCAGCCTGTGAAAACTGCTGTATGATGCCATCTGCAGCTCCAGAGGGGAGTTCTCAAAACATAATCCTGAAAATGTCATAGTGATGTGGTCAGCATTAACCCAACTAATGTTTATGTCTTAAAAAAATTATAACCCATTTCCCATGTTGGGACTAACAGCTATTTGTTTCAGAATTCAAACAAAGCTGACATGACATGTCTTTTCTTAATTTATGCAACCCAAACCAAAATGTAAAGATTTTTATATCACAGTTACAGTCATTTGTATGGTCTTGTTATTAGTTTGTTTTCACAAAAATTATTACATTGATAAGCAGGCATACAGTATGTGCTGTAGTTCATTGATTACTCAGTTTTATAAATGTGTTTATATAATGTTAGAAAATAGAGAAAAGGGTTCATTAGGATTCAGGGAAAGAAAGTGAAAGAGTTGTGGGATTAACCCATACACGACAGCAGAGTGCACAGTTATCTGCATTATATTGTGGTCATGTTGTATTTTCATTTGCTTCCTTCACCTGCTGCTTTAAAGTGCTTTAGATTTGGTAAATGGTAAATGGTCTTATACTTGTATAGCGCCTTTCTATGCTTTTACAGCACACTCAAAGCGCTTTCACACATTATTGGGCCATTCACCCATTCGCACTCCCAAGCACTCACGCATTCACACACCGGTGACATCACCGGGAGCAACTGGGGGTTCAGTGTCTTGCTCAAGGACACCTCGACATGTTGACTGGACAAGCTGGGAATCGACCCGCTCTACCTCCTGAGCCACAGCCGCCCCCCGGCTCATCTACTTTATATTTCACTTGTTTTATGTGGCATTCATGTGGACGGCAAGGTAAGAATTTCATTGTACAGGGAAACACGTTTCCTAACTGTGCATATGACAAATAAACACTTTGACCTTTGACCTTGATCCAAACCCAAGCTGACACCTTCATGTGTTTGATTTTGTTTAATTAACAAAGAACATTCAATTTACAATTAGAGAAATGCAGGAAATCCCCCTATTTGAAAGGTCAAAAACAGGATTTTTTTTGCTTGAGAAATTGTCTTAAACAATGAATCAGCTGTTAAAATACATGGAGATTATGTTTTGAAATATACTGCATTATACTCCTAGCAGTTTTCTGTTATTTTGTCCATTCTATTTATAGCCTATCAGCGAGCGTGGGCTGAATAACAGAAACACACTGTGTAATCAATAGTACATATTATCATAATATAACTGAACGTCCTTTGTACAAAATCTGGGCATTGAAGGGAGGATTAATTACAGCGCTGTTGTATTTTGCTGCATTAGATTTGTACCTAGAAAACTGTATTGTATAACACACCGCTGACGATTCCAAAATGTGCAGTGTAAACAGTTTGGCAGTCCAACCTGAGAAACATCTGGGGGTTTCCTGTGGGGAAACCTCATCAACCGGGTTGTCTGGTGGTTTAATGTGCGTCTAAATAAAGCTGTCATGATTTGAAAGCTACAATGAATCCTGCCGCAGAAATGACTGTGATGAATGGTGAAAAATGAAGTCTGAGGCGCCAGCGCTTGATGTTGGAGCGCAGCGTGTCGTTGGCTCCAGCCCACGGAGGAGTGGGAGCCTCCACAGGCTCCCTCTGATTGGCTCTCACACAGCTAACTCCATTTTGGAAAACAGCTGTTTGGAGACGCACAACCTTTTGTCTTTTTCACACGGTATCCCGAGAGAAACACCCGGGCTGTTAACACACATTTGGTCTGCACTGCGCGTTTGTTTGATTTACACCAGCCTGCCTCAGTTCCGACGCAGCTCGGCGCGCTTTCTGTCCGCCTGCCAGGAAACTTAACTGGGATCCATGGTGTTAAATTTCCATTGTAACAAGTGGATAACAGGAGGCGACCCGACCAAGGTTAGTGGCCAGCTTTCTTCTGGTGATATCACTCATATGTGCTTTCAATGTGGATTTTCGTTCATAAAATGGTCTGGAAGTTAATGTTTGCAGCTCGCTGCGATAGCCACTCTAGAGTCACGAAACGAAGCGAGGGTTCCCAGATAACTAGTAATTTTAGTAAGGCATTTTCTCAGCCAGCTCAGCGACTAGCGTTAGACAATACATCTCCCTTCGCGGTGTCCCCTGGAGTTACATCAATGGAGTCGTTTTCTCGGTGTCTGCTATTGTTCAATTACGTTACAAATTGTAATGATATTAACATTTTTCTCTATGTATGAGGCACCCAGTGTAGCCATTGTGCCGCCTGCCTGTGTGTGTATAGTTTAAAGGACTGCTATGCACGTCCTTCCCACACATTGGCTGCTGCAGTCATTGTAGCTAATTCCAAACCGGGTTAGCTTTGAAAAGCCCTCGGCTCCTCTCTCATCGACTGAGCCCCCCCCCCCTTCCCTCCGTAAATGCACCCAGCCCACACCCGGTGAAAACACACGTCAACTACTTCTATTTCCTAGCTCAACAAGGTAACAAAGGTGGTGACGACAGCGGCTTTTCGTGAAATAACCTGGCTGCGGAGTGAAAACGTAACATGCCAGTCAGTGTGGTTTTTTTCCTCCCCTGGAGGTGAGTCCTGTAGAAAGACAGCAGGCCGGTGGGGGAGCAGCCTGGTACCCCCCACTTTGCATGAGTGTTGCTGGGCCAGTGCCAGTCACTGGGCATGGGCACTGGTGAAAATAAACAGTGGCTTTTTTTCTCTGGCCGACTGTAACCACAGCAGTGGCCTCCCTCAGCTCCGGCCACCTTAATGTGGACGTTAAAATCCAGACCTCCTGATTAAATTCTCAGTGCACAGCTTTGCAGTGTTACAAGAACAGCCAGTTTTGTTTGCAGACCAAAACTGGATTGTGGCACATCTTGATGGGGACAAGCTTAATGAACTGTGTTAAAAACGGGGAGAACGGTGATATGTAATGATTTGGCATTTCATGGTGGCACTGTAGATTGTGGTTTTTGGAAAGAAAAGGGGGGAACTATGTGGTCCTGGGTTTGGGGTGAAAACATAGCTTGATGGAATAAAGTAAAGGTCGTATGTAGGACTCCAGTTAATAATGGTTTTTGTTATCAGCTGTATGATTTAAAAAGGTCAGCCCAGTTTGTTGTCACATTGCCTTTTTGCCCAACCAGCACTCCAGAATATTTTCTGTGTACTATCAGATAAGCAGCAAATCCAGGAACTAGGGGGATGTTTAGCAACTTTACTTAAAAATGTTAATCAAAATTGCTGCAGCTTATTTTGACTTCAAAATTTATCTTGAGTAAAATACTAAAAAGCAAACTGTAATGCATGTTTTGGCATGTTTTGCCAAGGGCTCCAGCTGATCATGAATCTGCCTGGCCATGCTTCAGATGGCTGCATCCATTTGAGACAAAATGCTGACATTCAAGACATTTTTTCTGTTGATGGAAAAATCATATTTTGTAAGGTCAGTAAGTGACTTGATGAATTTAAGATTGCACTTTATATTCTGATGTCAGATGGCTATTTTAGGATTAGTGCTCTACTGCCTCAACTCCTCTGTTTGTACCAAACATGGTCTGTTGTCCTTCAAAATGGCCAAGTAGGGGTGGAGGGCAGCCAGAGTGGACTGACACTAGAAAACCTCATTAATAGAGACACACACACACATCCTGCTGACCTTAGACAGAGCCCTACAGAGCGTTCATTCCTGTATTTCAGTTATATTTACTGACTCAAATCAAGGCCCACAGAAGAAAAAAGACAGATCTCTTACCATTAAGATTACATGTACCAATTTCCTGGCTATTATGGAGGCTGTTTCTTGGAGAGCCCTTACAAGTTATGCATCTTCTGATCTGTGACACTTTTTATTCAGAAAGGGGCTAGATCGGGAGCAGTCAGGTCCTGCTAGTAGGTCTGATTATCTGCAGTGCTGCATGACCAAAGGCATTCTCCTCCATCAGCTCCTTCACTAAATGGAAGCTATATTTGCTCCTGCTGATGGCTGCCAGCACTAACATGATTAGAAAATGTGGACCCCTCAGTCCCTGTGCTGAGAGCACAGCAGGAGTGGGGCCATCACTGTGTGGTTGCTTCTGTCACTTGTTTTTCAGTGAGCAATCATGACGGTATTTTATCCACATCAGGCAGTTTCATAATCCTACTGGAGGTTAAATGGACTGTTTCACGTTTCATTCCTAGTCTGTACACAACATCTATTGCATGTCTGACTATCCAGGAAGAGGGATCCCTCCTCTCTTCCTGAGGTGTCCTCCTTTTTCCCTGTTAAAGTTTCTTTTCTTTTCCAGGGAGTTTTTCTTATTCTCATGTGAGGCTTCTAAGAACAGAGGGCGACATATGCTGTACAGAGTGCAAGGCCCCTTGAGGCAAATTTGTGAGATAAAATGTCACTGGACTCGACTCGCTGGAGAAAACTGGCATCTGAATTCAAGAGTTCTCAGAACTCACTCAAGGGCCTTCTTTGTGGTTATGTCCGCCATCAGTCACCTGCCTATGTTTACGATAATGGGTCAGAAATCAGCAGTTTATAGCCAAGTCCGAAAGCAGTAAAGCAGCTGTGTGAACGAGCTGCTCAGTTTCTATTTTTATATGCCTCTCTCTGTGTAATCATGGGTTTAATGTGTACATATTTTGTGGATAGGGAATTGTCTTTTCAACTGCGTTGACCTCCAGCTGCATTCTTTGCCTTGCGCGCAGGGTACTTAAGCTCATCTGTTTTTAGCTCCCTGACTTCTCCATGAGGAGAAAATGAGGGCTGTCATCCCGACCTTCAGACAGACATGAAAGGTTTTCTGGTATACGTAGATACTGCAGACTGAGAGAGACTCGGCTTATGAACATGAAATGACTGCTTATTTTGTTATTCAGGTAGTCAAAACTTGATTTCTCCCTTTTTTTCTTTGAAGTGAATTCGGTTTATCAGCGTACAAAATTTCTGCGGTCAGACTAATACTTCAGGCCCAGTCTACACATGGTGCATTTAAAGTCATTTCATTTCTCCCTATTACTTTTGATTTTATCCTATGCGAAGAAGATCAGCAAGTCCTGCTTTGAAAATTCTGTTTGTAAATACAATCATTGATTATCTTTCTTTTATGGAGGACAGTTTCCATTTTAAAGAAGCAGTTGAGCTTGCGGTTGGATACATAAAGATAGAAACACACTGGGACAAATTGATTAAAGAGCCGGAAACGGATGCTCCAAGAACTACAAATAAACATATGCGAGTCCTTGCAGGAGGTGGCACGGTGGTTAACACTGCTCTCTCACAACTAGAAGGCTCCAGGTTTGACCCTCCTTGCTGACCTGGGCCTTTGTGTGTGGAGTCTGCGTGTTCTCCCTGTGACTGCATGGGTTTCCTCCAGACACACTGGCTCCCTCCCACAGTCCAAACAAAGACGTGCAGGTTAGGGTAACTGGTGACTCTTAAATTGCCCTGTGTGTGAATGGCTGTCTGTCTCTATGTGTTAGCCCTGAGACAGAATAGTGATCTGTCCAGTGTGTACCCATCTCTTGCCCAGTGTTTGCTGGGGTTGACTCCAGCCTTTTAGTTAGGATAGACAGGTATAAAACTTCTTGGGTCAACAGGGTTGTGTGTAAGAGCTGAGATCGAAGCAGTGTCGCAAACTATATGTGGGCAAAGCTATGTGAAGGGCATACTGACAGCAGAAAAGGTTGTTATTCTGCAGAATTTCCCCTGGGATCAATAAAGTATCTCTTTCTTCCTCTCTATCTAACCAACAAACAAACAGCCTGAGAAGTTTCTCTGGACCTTTTTCTCTGCTATGAACCAGGGTCACTATTGAAATTCACAGTAGTCACTGTATACAAACTGACCACAGCTGCTGTTCTCAGCAAGAGATCATACTACTAAAGTAGCTTCTTCCACTCACAGGGCACAAGTGTCTCTTTGGGAAAAGATAGAGCTTGGGTGGAATACCACTTATTCACCTGAAACTTCACACAGGTGATAGTAAGCAGAGGCAGACAGTTAAAATGGCTCATTCCAAAACCTTGTTATTCTTGGTAACTGCTATTGTGGGATGAGCTACAGCTGCCTGCACCCCCACACACAAGAAGTGGCTGTGGAAGATGGATGGAAAGTGCATAATTCATTGGTTAATTTCTTGTTCTTACTATATTTATGTGCCTCATCAATTTCCAATTCCTGATGATTGACATTGGGTAGCAAGGTCACTCTTCAAAGTGGTAACGTGCGGCCCATTGACTTGATGTTGATCCGAGTTGCATGTTCTTACTTCTGACAGCTTGGCCCACAGCATCAGCATAAATTACACAGAGGTGTTGAATAAACTCTGTTTTGTGAGAGGGCTTTTATTCAAGCCTCGTGTAATTGGATTCACATGTGAATTGGTTTGGAATTTCGGGCCAGCAGGTCAGTGAAAGATGATTTGATGAGTCTTCCTTCATGGAAAAAGAAAATGAGCTTAAATTATTTTAGTTGCAGTGGCCCATTTCAAACCCCATGTGGTAAATCATTTAACTTTTTAAGTGATGAGAGAGACATGCTCGAGGGTAGAAGGAACATTGTGACCTTCGCTGTTTGACAGAGAATTGGAGGCTTGTGATTTGTCCGCTGATTTGATTGGATCCCTCTTGGGAATTCTCAAGAGCAATTTGCTGAAAAAGTTTTTTTTTTTTTTTTTTTTCCCCAGCCATGTCCCAGGGGAGGAGAAAAAGGACGAGTTACATTGATTGGAGGGCACTCACAGGAAATAGACTACAAAATGTTGACGGTGATTAAAATTCACTTGACAGTGATGTTTTAAAACGATATTCCATTTCAGATGCTGTTGACCTAATTCGTCAGATGTGCTCATGACTCTTAAAAAGCCAAATAACTTGTTATGCGACTTGTACTACATTTCAGTACAAATACGTTGCCACCTTTCTTCCCTGTCTGCCTGTACTACTGGCCTCAAGTAATAAACTTTATGGAATGTAGTAGCTCCACCTTCACCAGCTACAGCAGTCAAATGCCACATAACCATTTATACACCGCTATTAACAACATAGATGGATACTTTATTGGTCCTGAGGGAAATTCTTACATGATCTAATAATGTAGAGCTTCATCAGTTAATGGATTATAGAAAATTAGTTTGATAAACACAAACGTTTGTCATTTTTTAAAATGCAAAATTCCCAAACATATGTTGCTGTCAGTTTCCCACAGGTGGTGATGTTTTTGGGCGTAGGGTTACAGTGATATACCGGTTATCATACCATGCAAATTTGTTTATTACCGGTATTGATGGAAAAAAACACAAATACGTGCGCACCTTTCTTTCCTGTCTGCCTGTCAGAATCCACGACTGGCGTCACATGTGCACATGCAGTGCACAAATGACAGAGAGTAGGCGGCTGAAACCACCAAAAAGAAATGTAAATGTGATCTCTGATTTAGAAACGGAGAAGATACAGACAGGTCTGGCTGCTCTATCCTGCACCTACAATAAACTTGACAACTATTTAGATAATCGTTTGGAGCGCCGTGACGCCATGTCTCACTATACTATATAGTGTTTAAGTGAAGATGGCATGTCTGTCACTGGAAATTATTCACTAGAATTATCCATGTCAAAATAGTGATAACTTATTTTGTAGTCTTCACTACATATATTATGAGTGTGCATGTAAACTGCAACCTGACTGGTTGGTGGAGGCTTACAGTTGTGAGGCAGTAATTCTACTCTTCACTTATTTTAAAAAGCAACAGTTGTGGTTAGCTTAATCAGTTTGCTAGCATTGGAAGTAAGCAGTCTGTTTGGCTGGATGCAGTTTCTGCTGTGTGCTTTATTTAGAGGATCGGGGGAGCTGTGGGTGAAATGGCTGTAACAGGTGCTGCAGAGAGAAAAAGCCAACAACCAAATCTTATATTCTTTACTGAACTGGTTGTGCGCTGTAGTATAACTGAGGAAACTCAAGCTCTCAAAAACGTAACGAAAACACTGGAGCCCATGAGGGATATTTCTTTATTTAGCAACCACAACAAACATGCATGCATTCCTTTTCTAGCTCCCATCCTCCCTTCTCTTATTTCCTTGTCATCATCTGCTTTCCATCCTTTCCTCACCCTCACACTCATCATCCTCCCCTCAATTTTCTCCGTACCTCCCTCACCCGCACATCCTGTATCCCCTCATTTTATTCTCATCCTTGCATCGTCCTCCTCCTCATCAGCCCAAGGGTCTTGTTCAGCCTCCAGTGTGTCCGCAGAGAGCCTGGGAAAAGATGGGGCATAAACAACGCAGACTGCTTCCTGCGGAGATCTTGTGTTTTTAAATGTGTGCACAGAAATAGAATAATGATGGTGGGAGGAAAATCACCAACCACAAATTGTAGAAGGAGAAACTGAGCTTAATGACACCTGGCGGAGAGAGTGGAGGTGATAACGCTATTTGGTCAGTTGATTAATTATCCGTTAAATTTTTTTTTATCAAAATGTCGAGATCCTGGGGTGTCAGCTGCTTGAATTACTGTTTTCTTTTGTCTGAGGTGACAGAAAGCTCTCTGGGCTTTGGCGTGCTGCTCAAATTATAATGGGCATTTTTCACAGTTTATTTTACACTGACCGAACAATAAGCAGGTAAATTGACAAAGAAAATCTGTTGTGGGACAGTCGGTCCAGAGGAGATGTCATTAATAAAATATGAATGCATAATGGCTGTAAAGAATTAAAATATTTCCTTTTTTTTTAAATCTTCATCTATTGTATAACTGTATCATTCAAGTAAAAGCAATACATCTTTGCATTTTAGAACCAGAGGACTGACAGGCCACAACCCCAACACATTCAATACAGTGATTTAAAACAGGAAACTAAAGAAATAGTTGTCATTTTTACTCGAATGGGTATAAATCTGTTGCTAAGGAACTTTATATTTGTGAACTAATCCTTTCAGCTCTAATTAAAATGAAGTAAGGCTCAATATTAAAGTTGTATCATGTCAGAGTAAACTGAATAGAAAACCTCAACAAGAAATGACAGACTACATAAATACCACTGTCATAATGTTTCCAAACTGCTGGTTTTGATTCCCTCTTTGCTCCCTCGGTCAATTCCAGGCACAGAACAGTCACGCACATCAAATTACTTTCAATTTGGACTTTGCAGCTTAAAAGAGTTGGAGCAAATTCTAGTTTCATAACCCTTTACCTCCCTCAGAGCTGCTTTACACTCGTACATTGGTTTGGCTTTTATGCAAACAAGAGATGAACTGTTCTTAAGAAACTCATCTCTTTTACTTCGGTTTATCATGAGAGATAGTGTGTTACATGCCAGAGCTACAGTTTGTGTGTTCACTTATGAAATGTTTCTCCTGACACATTTGTTTTTGTGACAGCCCTGCCTGTGAAGAGGCTTGAGAATGATGAGGCTCTAAATAAACAGCTGCTGCACCGTTTGGAAGTCGAGATGCAAGAAGGTTTTTTTTTTTCTCTTTTGTCGTTCGGGGTTATAATCATAGTCTTATTTTGGAGTCCAGTTGAAACACCTGCTCCTGACTCAGCTGTGAATCATGGGTGGTTGATGAGACTTCGTCACACCCATCCTCTCTCTCACACGCCCACAGACAAAACACAAACCAGGGGATTCCCAGTAGCCTGAGGCAGGGCAGGCTGCTACAGCAGCCTCTGTCTCATGCTGGCCACTCGTCTCTAATGCCGTTAAAGCATCGATCGATCACAGCTTATTTGCAGTTTTTGGGTCACAGGGATATACACGCAGGACACAGCATTGCACATTCAGCTCCTCTGGTAACGTAAACATCTCCAAACATGGCTATCCGATCCCGTATTGTGTACCCGATCCTGTTAGTTTGCTCTGTCTCTGAGTTGTGTGAAGATATAACAGTGTTGTGATGTACCGGCTCTGTCATCTCAAGAACTGGTATCGATTGACCCAGCTGTTGCTACTTGAGCTGTGCTAACAAAAGGGAATACGATCTGTAGTAGAAATCTGTCTTGTCAGTGCTGTTGTTTATTACACAATGCTGCCACCTGTTTAATAGATGAGGCAATTTAGTAGATTATCAAGATGCTTGTGTGTTTATCAGTTTCTGGTTTGCAGTCGGTGTCACTGAGCAGAAATCTGTCAGCTTTGATTACATAGATATCGAAAAACCATGTTAGATGTTTTGTTTTCCCAGCATTTGTTAACAGTAATTTTCAGTTGCAGTAATCACTGTGGTGTGCAGTGACCGGTCATGTCGTGTTTGGGGTGGAATCACTTAATGATAAAGGAATAGTTCCACATTCTGCTTGGTGGCTGTCTTGCGGAGATGGATACCACTGTCATATTCATCTGTTCAGCATGAAGCCTCAGCTTCCTCAGGTCTTGTCGTCACGGTGAGGTGTCCAGGCAACCAGTGGTGATTCCAGGAAGTCTTTTAACCCAACCAAGAAGCAGTCCAGAGTAGCATGATATAACCGAGCTCAGCCAGACGGCACTGATGTCGGCTAGTGGGAGGAACTCCTCTGGTTTTATACGTCATCTGTTTGCTGTTCTCAGTGAGTACTTCTTCCTGGCTTAAAACGTTTGTTTAAAGTGGGTCTACACTGGCCACTACTAGCTACTGCTAGCTTTACTAATGTGAGATAAACACACTTTCTTGTTCTCCAAGGTTTTTATTTTTCGTCCATCTGAAGTAAATAAGCAGAACAATAGAAATGCCTCAATATTATGCAGTGAAATTCAACACCATTGGAAACTACAACCTATAAGATAAATATAAATTAAATTATTTAAATTGATGGTTATTATTCTTATTTTTGTTACATACACAATTCAGCCGTAAATAACACCTTTACAAAGTGGCCAGTGAGTACGTATACTAGTCAGTCATGCAGCTCGGACACAGTACTGTTGGGCCTTTCTCTCAGGAACTAGTTTCACAGTAAGAATGATGTGACATAAAAGTTGTACCTGAATAGGAACAGGACACATGCTGTTCAGTCACACCGACGACTTGCCACAGTTGACCGATGCGTAGCACACGGCAAAGACTCGTTGGTGTGCCGAGTGCACTGTTTCACATGAAATGAGTGTGGCACTGTGAAATAATTTACATCCACTTTAACATGTTCATCCAGTGTGGCAAGTTTAGTTTAAAGCTACTGTGTGTAAGCAGTAATATCACCCAGACAGAAAAGAATATGAATCTACTACTGTGCTGTTGCTTTCATGTTAAATAGGAAGCAGTATATTCCGACATAAATCAGTTCCAAGTAATATTTACAGAACAGAAAAGCATCTTGCACACTTGATATTCTGAATTCAAAATGAATTGACAATCTAGTTTTCATCACAGCTGGTCCTTTCACATCTTACTGGCCTTTCAGTGGCTATGGAGAACATGACTTCATCTTGTATTCATCTTCTTTATGCTTTTCCCAAAAAGGTTGTTGTCCCAATTCGCAGACACAACGTGATTTAAGATGTGTGCACATGGAGTCGTAAACGGCTGAACATTTCTAACATAAGTGTGGGTTGTCTCAAAGTTGGACAGCTGAACATCAATAAATATGTTCCTTCTTTGTCTGTTTGGTCTTATGGATGGTTTTGCTTCAGTGTGTCTTGTATAATGATAAGCCTGCTGTAAGAGTTTTTACATTTTTTAAATTAAAAACAAGGAATGTTAGGCAATATAATTATAACCACCTGAGAAGTCTTCAAAAGGCAACCTTCAAACATTTTGTGTGTGCAATAAGTGCAGTTACATCAGCATTAACGGTA